TTTTTGTCCAGTCGTGTTTGACTCTAGGGGGCGGTGCTCATCCCCGTTTCCAAGCCATAGAGCCAGCGTTTTGTCTGAAGACAATCTTCTGTGGTCACATGGACAGTGCGACTTAGACACGGAACGCTGTTACCTTCCCACCAAGGTGGTCCCTATTTATCTACTCGCATTTGCATGCTTTCGAACCGCTAGGTTGGCGGGAGCTGGGGCAAGTGACGGGCGCTCACTCCGCCACGTGGATTCGATTTTACGACTGCTTGGTCTTCTGATCCTGCAGCACAGAGGCTTCTGCGGTTTAGCCCACAGTGCCACCACATCCTTTAGGATAGAGCCCTTAGCCACTCGTAGATGAGAGCTTGCTGGGCTTCTGCCTGTTGGGCAAGACCCTCAGAAATCCAGCTGGGGTTTTAATTCTAATTTATCATCTTTCTGTTTTTCAAAGGGATAACCCCAGTGCATTCTTCTACTTTTTTAACTCTATGATAGAACTGTTGCTGGCTTCTAGACATATACATGAATTACAGAATCAATTCTTTCAACGCTAAAAGTCTTGTTGGAAAAATTGTAAATTAACAGAACCTTCAAAGTAGGGTCTATAAGAATTGGGCTTCACCAAAGAGATCCTTAAATTAATTTAAACTATTGTTGTAGTTCATTCCCCAGAAGTATACAGAGATTTCTCTGATAACAGTGTCCATCCCAGCTCTTCATTTTTATTTTTATTTTTTTGTCTTTGCTTCCAAGGATTTATTTCCATTTGAGCAGAATTCTTTTTTATGTCTTTTATATTGTTTTTCACAAATCTCTGTGGACAGAATCTTGGTAGAAGTGTGAATCACCAAGGAAGGGCACATATCTACTGTTTTATTGAAGGACATAGTAGTACGGCATACATGGTGTTGGTGGGGAACTTTGATACCATAATGCAGTTTCAAACATGACTCCAAACTGGGTGAAGGAGTTGTGGCATCTCAGCTTCAGAGATTTGGGGCTGACACTGATTATTTAGATTCATTTCAATATAATGTTTGGTCTGGTTTGAGGATAGAAACCACCTTGATTCAAGGATAGGTAAGATTATGCCTGTGGGCTGCATGTGGCCAAAGGCTGTTTTTTCCATTTCGCCAGCCTCCTGGAAATTGTACCATAAAAAAGTCATGAAAAACCTGTCATTGGGTTTAGTGCTAAATCACAGTACCAACATTTGGTGACAAAACAGAAAAAAACACATTAGAATAAGGTTTTTCAGATTTCAAACAAAGAAAATGTCTCAACTGTAAAAATAATTGGCACCAAAGCAGCAGGGATTATATTTGCAATGAGTCCCAGAAGGGGACACCTATTTGCCCTGCACCCATTGAAGTTGCCCACCTCTGTCCTAGTGGATTGTTTCTGTGGGGAAATAGAAAGAGGGAGTGCTACCATCATGAACCACCATGATCTCCCAGTGGTGTTCAGTACCATTGACAGTGGTGTCTCTCTGGGTTGTCTCAAAGGGATAGTAATAGATGGTACTGTACTGAACTAGTTCTGCTTGTTCTTGTCAGGTAGGATCCAGAAGGTGGTGCTGAGTACCACTGTTCCTCCCCTTAGCTGGATGCCCATAGAGCTCTATAGAGTTCTCTCTTGTCTCCATGCTATTCAACTTCTACATGAAGCTGCTGGCTGATGTTGTCTGGGGGTCATGGCTACAGAGCATGGCTGGTTTAATTGTTTAAAATATTTTAAACCCACATTTCTCTTTTAAAAGGATTCAAGGCAGCTTTCAACAATTAAATTACAGTACCTAAGTTAGTAACAATGAGTATACAATACTAAAGGAAGTACCTAAGTTAGTAACAATGGGTATACAATACTAAAGGGATCAATTAATACAATACAAAAAAAAAACATAAGCATCACCAAAGCACATTTACGGCCGTAAGGCACAACAATCCATTTTAAAAACAAAAAAACCACTTGGCAGCCATTCATTCAGGGAAAGCTTGCCTGATGAGAAAGTTCTTTGCCTGCTTGCAGAAGGACAATAAAGATGGTGCCAGTCTAGCCTCCTGTGGAAAGGAGTTCTTGGAGCAGCAACAGAGAAGGCCCTCTCCTGTGTCCCTATTGAATGCATCTGTGATCAAGAGGAAGGCCTCTCCTGATGGTCTTAACACTTGAGCAGGCTCATAAAGGGAGAAGCAGTCCTTGAGACAGCAAGATATACAAATGCAGTATGTCCCAAACTTATATAACTGCTGTTACATAAACTTATTGTTGTTCATTTATATATGAACAAATACTGTTTTAAAGATTCTCAGCTTTGTTTGATGCCTTGAATTCCCTTTTAGGGAAACAGGTAGAATATAAACTCTTCAAGCAACACTGCCGCTTCGCATGATAATTCATGCCAATGTGTGAATTGAACTCTAGTGGGCTTATCTACCTATACACCATGTTTCTGTTCATATTCTAGTTCACAGTCTGGCCATAGGAACTGGCTCTATCTGAATAGAGCTGAAAGGAAGGATAGGGAGTTAGGTGTGAGCCAAGGATACAGACAACAAGGAACAGATGCAAGGTGGGTCAAGCAAGGAGAGGCAGCATTCTCTGGTGTGAGGAGATGAGGGTGAGGAAATGGGATTTGAACCAACATCCCCTGAAGAGCCTAGAAAAGAGATAAAATGGTAGACAAAGGCCAGGCACCCAAACAGTATGGGTTAAAGCAGAGGAACGCAAGGCAAAATTAACTGAGAACAGAGGAAGAATCTGTGGCACAAACACACACACACACACACACACACACACACACACACACACACACACACACACACACACACACACACACAGAGGCCCGGCAACCTTCCTCAGAGGGCTTCCGCACCACCGGGCGTTGAGGCGGCTGCTGGCCAGGCTGGTGCTGGGGGTGCCAAGAGAGAAAGAGAGCCAGAGAGCCACTTCCCTGGAAGAGGCAGCAGCGGGAGCTGCTGTTGGTGGCTTGGAGCTGCTCTTCAAGGATGGGACAGGAGCGAGCTCCGCTCTCAGGCATCAATCGGGTGCTTGGGGGAAAAGGGCTGGCAGCGTGCCTTGCTCACCGGCTCTCCCCCAAGACACCGCCTCTTGCACCCTCCATCCAGAACTGCAGTCTGCCAGCCGGCAGACAGGTGGGCTGACTGGCAGGCTGCAGTTCCACATGGTGCAAGAGGTGCTGTTTTGGGAGAGAGCCGGTGAGCAAGGCGAGGCTTTTTTTACTCTTGACAGCATAGGGTGCGTGGGTGCTTCGGGGGGGGAGGCAAGATGAGGGCCACAAACTATTGTCCGGCGGGCTGTAAATGCCCCCTGGGCCGCATGTTTGAGACCCGTGGTTTAGGACCTTGCTATCTGTCAGAATGCCTCTTCTTCAGATCATCCTCCAATCCCACCTGCACCACCCAATCCTTGAGTGGCAGGTGGCCACTTCAAGAGAGGCCCAGAAGTCATCAACCAGAAGCTAGGCCTTCTCAGTAGTGGCCACCCCACCCCACAGTGGCAGGTGGCCACTTCAAGAGAGGCCCAGAAGTCATCAACCAGAAGCTAGGCCTTCTCAGTAGTGGCCACCCCACACTGTAACCATCTGGAGGTGCGACCAGCCCCCACCCTCCTGAACTTTCAATAGCAAGTTAAAACCTGGCTTTTTATCCAGCCTTTACAAACCTCACCCCTTTGCAATCTTGCAAGTTTATGCCGGCCCCTGGTTCATCAAAGAGATCTCTGTTTTTATATGTTCATTATTTTTTTTAAAAAAAAAATTGTATTCTCTTATTTTCTGGAAGCCGCGTAGAGTAATGGCTTGTCCAATAAATGGGCGAGGTGTAAGTTTAAACCAGTAAATAAAAATAATATAAGTAAATAACACAGAACTCCTAGTAAGTTTTTACGTTACAGCATCAGGCAAAGTGAGGCAACAGCTAGAGGAAGCAGACTTTCTCTATTGCCTGAGAGAATGAAATGCTTAGCTGGAGACGGGGGTGATGTGCTTGTGAGATTTTCTGCCTCTGAAAAGTGCGAAATGAGATCCCATAAAAATGCCTCCTGCTCCAAAGGGAAGAGTTTTGGATGTCTTCCCCGTTTTAAGGACAGGATGTGAAACACTGATGTCCAAGGAACTCGTCTAGATCGCAATGAAAGGAGCTGTGAAAAAGATTCTGGACCGCTTGGCTGGAAAGAGGGTGAACTATCCAAAGTTCTGCAGAGAGAGGCAAGTTGGTCTGAAACAACAACAACCACATTTTTTAAAAAAATTGTATTCTCTTGTTATTTTCTGGAAGCCGCCTAGAGTAATGGCTTGTCCAATAAACTGGCGAGGTATAAGTTTAAACCAGTAAATAAAAATAAAATAAAATAAGTAAATAACACAGAACTCCTAGTAAGTTTTTACGTTACAGCATCAGGCAAAGTGAGGCAACAGCTAGAGGAAGCAGACTTTCTTTATTGCCTGAGAGAATGAAATGCTTAGCTGGAGACAGGGTGATGTGCTTGCGAGATTTTCTGCCTCTGAAAAGCGAGAAATGAGATCCCATAAAAATGCCTCCTGCTCCAAAGGGAAGAGTTTTGGATGTCTTCCCCGTTTTAAGGACAGGATGTGAAACACTGATGTCCAAGGAACTCGTCTAGATCGCAATGAAAGGAGCTGTGAAAAAGATTCTGGACCGCTTGGCTGGAAAGAGGGTGAACTATCCAAAGTTCTGCAGAGAGAGGCAAGTTGGTCTGAAACAACAACAACCACAACAACCACCGGAGGGCCAGCGGGATGCTGCAGGTCTCAGAAAGGCTTCCATGGAGGGGCAGTGACAAATCAAAACAAAACCACAGCCCTCTCCACCCTGAGGAGAGAGAGTGGGCGTAAGGGGGGGGAGAGAGTCCTGCCCCTTCGCTTTACCGTCACTTTCCCGCGGCTATAAATGTCCGCAGCGAGGGTCACTTCAAAGAGGAGCTGATGAAAGGCCCTTGAGGGACCGGTGGGACTTCGGAGGGGGCGGGCGCCTCGAATCCAATCCCACCCAGCGGTTTTGCATAAATAAATAAATCATCACCGAGCGAGGGAGAGCCGCGGAGGTTGCTTAGGGGAAGCCGAGCAGCCCGCTCCTCTGAGGCAGAAGGAGAGGCCGCGCGCGTGTGTGTATGTGTGTGTGTGTGGTGTGTGACAGAGAAGTCAGGAACAGCTAAAGCACAACTCTTCCAGTCAGTGGCGAATCCTCCTTCTGTAATGGGGACCTTCTTGTGCCATCTTTGGCTTACTTCGCTAAGGAACTGAACCTCTCACCAGCAAAGAAAGAGGGAGGAAAAGCAGCTGCAAACAAAACTGGACAATTAGAGAGAGAGAGAGAAATTAAAGAGATAATCCTCATCAGACTGCTTTGCCCAAAAAAAACCTTTCTGAAGTTTGATTTTTTTCCCTCCCCCCCCCCCCGGCGGGGGGAAGTTCATTCCTTCCACCACATTTTGGTTCCATATGCATTTTTGATCCGCTTGTTTTTGTTACCTGTCCTTCCAGTTTTTTTCAGGGCATTGGAATTCCCTTGGACGGCGGTGCTTTTCTAGTGCGTTTTGGATCGTGCTTCTGGGAGGACGACCATCGCTTTATTTATTCTCTATTTATTTATTTATTGCCTCTGAGGCTAGGGAAGGAATGGTGGTGGTGGTGGAGGAGGAGGAGGCGAAAGGCTGGAAAGGGGCTGCTCGTCATGGTGGTGCCCTGGAGAGTGGCTGCCTCACACATCCCAGGAGAGCAGACGGGGAAAGATGCTGTAAAGTCCCTCTTCTGCTGGGCTCTGGGCTGCCCGGAGTGTCTTTACTTTCTTTGGTGCTGAGCCTCTTGCTGTACTTCAGGACATCGGACCTGCAATCCAGGGTTTCCCATTTGGAGGCAGACCGATCCGCTCCGCTCCCTGCCTGCCTCTCTGCAGACCAAATGGAGACAGCTATTTTGGGAAGAGTTGACCAACTGCTCGCTGAGGTCGGTGCTGTTTCATTTCCACATGCACATGTTATAAACTCCATCTCCTTTTTCCTTCTTACAAAAGAGACCCTTCTTGGGGAATTTCTTGAGCACACGATATGCTGCCAGGCTGAGCATCTGTAGGGTTGCCAAATGCTGTGAAAGTCCTCCGATCCTGAGTTTCTCCAGGGCTTTTGCTTCTGTTTGACAGTTTATTCTGAGTTCTAGGAGCTTTCCTTAGCAGCCTTAAATTAGCCCAGCCTTTCTTTTCTTGCAGCAGAGGGGCAGGTAGGTTGACAGGTAGGTTGACGAGCAGACTAAATAAGCAGGTTACACAGAACTAACCTCATCTGTTGTTATAAATGCAGCTTGACCCTGTGCTATGGGTTCAGTGGGATTTTTACCCAAGTGAGCGTACATAGGAAAGTAGCAAAGATGACATAGGATGACAGCAAGGTCTTATGCATCTTTACTTAAAAGTATTTCCGACTGGATTCAGTCAAACGTGCTTCCTTATAAATGAGTATGTGTTAGATGGCAACCTTATCTCTGCTAACTTGAAGCTCGTGGACTGACAAAGTTGGAAACAGTTAGAAGCAGCAGCATGTGGGGGAGGGATGATCTCAAGAGGCTGAGGCTCCCTTGAATAAGTTAGTCAGAGGACTGCTGGTCAGAGAAGCAAAATGCAGACTCCGGAGTATGTGTGTCAGGTAAATGGGAAGGGGTGGGTAAGTGGAGGTTGTGGAGCAGCTTGATTCCCCCTTATTTGCTGGAAGTCTTTTCAAAAATTTAAACCCAGATTCCCTTTCTTCATAGATGTTAATTGGGGTGGGGGGAGAGGGAGAGAAATATAATCGTAAAAAAACAAAACCAAACCCCAGTGTTCTGGCAGTGCACTGCTAAGAATAAAAGTTTGTGCTGGGTGGGGAGAATAACAATGACATTAGAGAGCATCTGTTTACCAACTCTTGCAAAGGGGAGCTGCATAAATAGGTGCCGTTACTAGGAGTTGGCAAGACCACACACAGAGGGAAATAAGATCTGAAAGCCCAGAGACAGACTACACCAGTCCAGTCACATGAGAATCTCTGCTACTCCATTTTCATGATGCCCACCTCTTATCACCATTCACTCTTCTGTCAGGTGTCATTAATGGTTACATAGCATCGTTTTAACCTCGTAAAGCATAGCCACATTTCACGCATGCCTAGCCTGAGCACTGATTCGCCCATCCCACCGTTTCCTGTTCCAACTGTCAGTGGTTTACTGGCCTATTAGGAAGTAACAGCCCAGCTTCCTGAGATAACTGAACAGGAGATGTCAGCGTTTGAATCTAGGATACATGGCTTTGCCATTGACCTGTAGCTGCTCCCCATGCTTTCCATGAATAATATTAGTGTAGCAGAAATATATTTTAGCCTCATAATCAGTCCGTAAACTTTTCTTCCACCTCAGAAATCCTACATTGAGGATCATGGTATATTAAAAGTTTTACAGAAGCCAGAAACAGAAGGCTGTTTAATCCCAATATAATGATGTGGCAGATATCCAGAGTGGTGTAGTGGACAGAGTGATAGACTAGGACTCGGGAGGCCTGGGTTCGAATGCCTGCTGAACCATGGAAGCTCACTGGGGCTGTAGAACTGACAAAACCATTTCTTAAATATCTCGGTTACCTTGAAAGCCCTATAAGGGTTATTATAAGTCAGTTTTGACTTGATGGCACACAACAACAACAACTTTCCTAGCAACTAGCTTGTGAGTCTTAACCCTGTATTGTACAACAAATTTCAGGTAAACCCTAACTATTGTCAACAAACAGACTTGAGAAACAGGTAGGAGTAACAAGTTTTATTTGGGACACACTTTCATAGACCTTTGCTTATAGGCTAAGAGTAACATGTAACATTCTCGAGGTCCTCATAGAAAATACTGCTCAACTCTGCATTTTATTTTTACTTATGGATTGCAGAGCTAGTTCATGATTTATTTAGTAGTCATATTTTACAGTGCAATTTTTGTACTTTTATATTTGACAGTAAGTTCCACTGAGATCATGTGGAGCTTGCTTTCAAGTAAAAGAATTTATTTATTTATTTATTTATTTATTTATTTATTTATTTATTTATTTATTTATTTATTTATTTATTTATTTACCGCCCATCTAGAATGTGTCTGCTGTGGGTGGTTCATATAAAGCATAAAAAAACACCCTAAAGTTAAAATCCAAATTAATCTCAGAGTCCAAGATGGAAGAAGAAAGACAGGGGGAAAAAGGAAAGAAATAGGCTAGGTGATGGCTGTAGGGAAGGCCATGGGACGTCATGTCTTCAGATTGGTCTCAGCGAGGGGGGGCAGGAGGATCTCTGCAGGTAAGTTGTTCCAGAGGCCATGATATTATTTGATTGGCTATTCCAGGTTCAGAACTATCATTATCTGGCCCTAGATAAAAATCCTCTTGCTGTTCTCCATGTTATAGCCTCTGGTATTTGTTTCCTGAAACTAAAAGATTCCTAGAATTGGACATTAGACTTGTAGAAAAATTAAAAAAAATTGGCAAGATCAGTACTCTCAAGAGAATAGCTCTAAAGCAATTGGTGCATTTGTTGCAGTTCACATTAATCAAATCATAGGCTGTGCCAATAGAAACCTTGTGGCGCAGTGGTTAAACTGCTGTACTGCAACCAAAACTATGCTTACGACCCAGGGTTCAAACCCAGGTAACCAGTTCAAGGTTTACTCAGCCTCCTATCCTTCTGAGGTTGGTAAAGTGAGTACCCAGCTCATGGGGAGGGGCAATGTGTAGCCTGCATAACTTGTAAAACTGCCCAGAGAGTGCTCGAAGCACTATAGGGCAGTATATAAGCAGCACGCTTTGCTTTATATAGTGGGTGGTGTTTTTTCCTCTCTCTTTCTTTCTCTTTCTCTTCCAAAAATGTCTATTTTAATGAATAGGAAATATTTTTATTATAAGAACACACCATCAGCACATTGGTTTGCAGGGTACCAACAGCAGTGCTGCTGTAAGCCCTGGAAATGTGAGGTACACTAGCATCAAAGGTGGATATACTGGTGCAAATGTTTTAAGATCTATGAATGCCGGCAGGAAAACCAGTTGCATAATTTATAATTTCATTGTGGAATGACACTGACAACCCTTTGAACTATTAAGAGTTACTAGATAAAATGTAATGGCTACACCATACATCAAGGAATTCTCTCACTGGCATGTGACACTTGCACGCTGATTGCTTTGTTCGGCCCACTCCATGACTTTAGCACTGGCTTAGCATTTAGGAAGCACTACCTCTAGGAAAAGAATTCTTACCACACCTCTTTCTGAAATTCATCCAGCATTGCATAAATCCCATGGCTAAAGACCCATGGAGCATCTTGTTTAGAATCCATACTTGGTACCAAAAAGAATTAGTGCACTGTTACAGGGTGGTCAGTGCAAGACAAAGAGGTTAATAACCTTCCACCACAGACTAGTCTGGCTAACAGAATATTATCTACACAGTGTCCAGTGATGGCTATCCAGGGTTTCAAGGAATGATCTTTTACAGCCTGATTTAGAGATCCCATAGGTTAGATCTGGACCGGCTTGTATGCCAGGATTGTAGCTCTTCTAGTCAGTTGTTGTCCTTCACCAGACTTTCTATCTTTATGTCATTATGTCTTTACGTATGTCTTCATTCATTGGTTTGTTCTATATACCACCCATTAGTGCAAGCACTATACTTTAGATGAGCTTACTTTCTTTACATCATTTGCTGAAATCAGATAAGCTCTGCCCATGTAGGTATTTGCACGTTGGGTCAGAACCATATAGTGGATCATAGAGAACTGTTGAAACTGGATCCTGGAAGGAATTAACCTGTAACAATATGAGGTGGGGGCAAGTAAATAGGATCAGATCCAAGTCCATCTACTCTGACCAGTGTATCAATTCCAAAGGTGTCAGCTGGATAACCTTTGGTACTCACAAAGAGGAAGTGAAGCTGATAGATTTCCCTTGTTTGTTCTCATTCACTGATAACAGGGAAGGATAGTGGGGGATACCTATCCTTGTTGCAGTACATCTGGAAAAAAAATTCAGGATTGCAGTTGATCACAGGCTGAAATTGAGTCAGCAAGTTTTAAAAAGAAACGTCGTTGTTGTTGTTGTTGTTGTTGTTGTTGTTGTTGTTGTTGTTGTTGTTGTTGTTGTTGTTGTGTCCCACCAAGTCATCTCTGACTTATGGCAACCCTGTCAACAAGTGACTATGGGAATATGCTATCATAAACAACCCTACTGAGCTCTTGCAAATTCAAGGCCGTGGCTTCCTTTACTGAGTCAAACCACTGTTTATTTGGTCTTCCTCTTTTCTTGCCTTTAATGCTTCTATGAATCTTTTAGTACACTATGATTCTTTTAGCATTCTTTTTCAACTGAACTGCAATTTTTTATATTAACAGTTTGTGATCATTACCACAATCCTCTCTTGATGTTGTTTTTGCAGAGAGAATACAGCTTCTCCATCTACTACTTGCAGTTATATAGTCTATTTGGTTTCCATGTTGGAGATCTACTGAGCTCCTTGCAGTTATATAGTCTACAGTATTTGGTTTCCATGTTGGAGATCTACTGATATCCATGTGTACAATCATTTGGTTGATTGTCTGAAACATGTATTTGTAATAAATAGATGGTTGGCATCACATCTGCCAAATACCCCAACAACATTTGGTTCAGTCTTGTTCTCTGCTGTTGTGTTCCAGTCATCTATGTTTGTCAGCACATATTGTTTCGGTCTGGACACTTACATAAAAGCTTTCAGTTTTTTGGAGTGCCTGCCTGCATAATATACCATATTTTTCTATGTAAAAAACAACACTTTTTCCTAAAATAATTGGAGGAAAAATTGAGGGTCGTTTTATACACAGAAGGCAGCAGCAGAAGGTAGAGACGGAGGCAAAGAAGCAGTCACACTTGGCGGCCTCTCACTGCTACCCATTAACTGCTGCCGCCACTGCTG